CCTTCCACAAGGCGACGACAATAGCCCAATCAATCACGCAGGTAGAAACATCCTGCACCGCATCAGTAGTACCATGAAAATTCCTCGATTCCCAATCTATAACAAGCGCTTCACGTCGCACAAGATAGAATAGGAAGGAAATGAAGGCATAAGCCTCAGAGGAATCAAATCTCACGATGAGGAATCAAGAAGGGAAGTGCTCCTAACAGCCCTGTAGCCTCTCGAACATAAGTACAGACGTCTCCGTACCGATTCGCAAGACTCTACTAGACTTGCTCATGACTCATGAGGCCTAAGTGAACCTAGTGCTCTGATACCATGTTGTCACGACCCAAAATCCATTAAAGGTCGTGATGGCGCCGGACACCACCGTCAGGCAAGCCAACACTAAATAATTAGTAAATTCTCATTTTAATATTTCTGAAATCATAAATGTCATTCAATTTAATTGGTAAAAGATGAACTTTACAAAATAGTAATAACGTTTTCCAATTTCAACACTAAGTATCCCATAGTCATCCCAGAACCCGATGTCACAAGTGCATGAGCATTATTAAGGAATAAATAAAATACAATAACTGTCCGGAGTACAAATTTGGACAGAAAAGAAAATACCAATACTCTGAAGGAGACTCTGCTGGCTGCGGATTCGCACATAAGATGCAGCTCGTCTAAGTCCCCGTGTCAACCATGCCGCTGTGCCCAACTAGGCCACTAGACATACATGTGCCTGTGCAACAAAAATGCACAGCAAGTGTAGTATGAGTACGAAAACAACGCGTACCCAATAAGTATCCAGTCTAACCTCGAAGAAGTAGTGACGAGAGGCCGACTCCGACACTTACTAGTGGTCCAACAATATGATAATATGAAATTGTAATTAAGCATGATTTATAGAGATAACAACAAAACTCAGAATAAGAAAATAGCAAAACACTTAATTTCCAGTTAATATTAAAGATCCGCAAAACACTTCCTTCATTTTAAACAAATGATCTCTCAACGATGAATTTATACAAATTATAGAAAGGATTTCCAGTTATATTATCACACATAATTTCCACCGAGGACGTTCGGCCCGATCCAACATAAATGTAAACTGTGCACTGCCAAGGGTCGAACAGCACAAACCATAGATGCATCTATTTTCCAGCTCGCGAATCATACATGCGACACGGTCCCCGCTCGCGAATCATACTTGCGACTCAGTCAAATATAAATTTAACATGTAAGTCATATCTCTTTCTTGATTCTTTTCAAAATAATAGAAATTCATCTTGAAACCTTTTGAGTAAATTACCCCGATCGCGAAACATACATGCGACGCGGTTACCCATAGATTTCTTAAGCTATTATAATATTGCTCAATTCTTTTCGAAATTACGAAGTTCAAATGGAACCTTTTAAATCTTAAATTCTTCAACTTTCAATTCTTTCAAGGCAATTATTTCTCAACCTAAATCTTGCTTCTTCTCAAGGCAAACAATAAACATAAATCGACAGTAATATCAACAAGGCATGATATAAACCTAGACAACCCAAATATAGGCATAGTTAGTAGCTACGTTCGGACTCTCGTCACCTCGTGCGTACGTATCCTCCACAATTAGAAGCACATATTAGTTTATTTACCTGTGTGGTTAATTCCCTCTTACAAGGTTAGAAAAGAGACTTACCTCGCTCCGAAGTTCCATAACCGGCTCCAACGTCGCTCTAACACCTCAATCTGATGCCCAATGCTCCAAAACTAGCCAAACAATGCGCAAACCAATGAAAATATACTCTAATACTCTTAATAATTCAATTTACAACAATTCCCAACTCCGCTCGAAAAATCAATAAAATCACCCTCGGGCCCACGTGCCCGGATTCCGAATATTTTCGAAAATAAACTTTACCCATAACCCCATGAACTCAAATATATAATTTATTTTAAATTCCATGCCCAAGTTCGTGGTTAAAATCCAAAATACCAAATTCTCGGTCTTCTACCCAAAACCCCACAATTTATACTAATTTCCATGTTCCAATCCATGTATAATTCATGTATTTAACTCACAAATGGGAAGAAACCACTTACCTAGAATTGTTTGATGAAAATCTCCCCTTGAATCCCTCCAAAATCGTCCAAACCAAATGAAAAATGGGAGAAAAATGGGCCAAGTCCCGTTTTATAAAACCCTTCTGCCCAGCGACATATCCGCACCTGCGGAACAGTAGCCGCACCTGCGGCTTCGCAGGTGCGAGGCTCCCTTCGCTTCTGCGGTTTCCTTCCGCTTCTGCGGTCAACTCCTTCGCTTCTGCGCTTGCGCAGATGCGGCCAACACTCCGCACCTGCGGTCCTTCTCCTGACTACCCAACCCCGCATCTGCGACTCCCAGGCCGCTTCTACGGCTCCGCACCTGCGGCCAAAACCTCGCAGGTGCGGTTACACCAGATTTACGCTGCCTAAATTCTTCTTTAAATTCCAAATTCGATGCGTTAGCCACCTGGAATCCGTCCGAGGCCCCGGGACCCCGTCCAGTCTTACCAACCAGTTCCAAAACATGACACGGACCTGCTCGAGGCCTCAAATCACATCAAACAACGTGTCACGAATCACAACCCATTCCAAGCTTAATGAACTTTAGAATTTCAAACTTCTTCATTCGATGCCGAAACCTATCAAATCACGTCCAATTGACCTGAAATTTTGCACACAAGTCGTATTTGACATTATGGACCTACTTCAACTTCCGGAATCGAAATTCGACCCTAATATCAAAAAATCCACTTTCGGTCAAACTCCTTAAAAACCTTCAAATTTTTAACTGCAGCCAAATGACTCCAAAATGACCTACGGACCTCTGAATCTACTTCCGGACACGCTCCCAATACCAGAATTTCCATACGGAGCTATTCCTAGACTCGCAATCCCAAACGGACATCGATAACACTGAAATGCACTGCAACCCATATTTATGAAATTCTTCCCAAAATGATAACTTCCACAATATGCGACGAAATGCTCCCCGGTCATCCAGAACCCAATCCGGACATCTGCCCAAGTCTGAAATCATCATATGAACCTGTTACCTTCAAATTCCGATTTCAATGTCGTTTACTCAAAAATCACAACTTAACCAATTCTTCCAACTTAAAGCTTCCGAAATGAGAATTCTCTTTCCAAATCGGCTCCAAACTTCCCGACATTCAATTCGGGCCACACGTACAAGTCATGATACCTGAAGTGAAGTTGCTCAACGCCTCAAACCGCCGAACGACGCGCTAGAGCTCAAAACGACCGGTCGGATCGTTACAAGTAGAATTCGATGAGGATCATCAAGCAATTGGTGAGAATGCAAGCACATTAATTTGGTTTTTGGGATAAACAGTTAGAAGCCGAACTTGTTACCCTTTAATGGTAAATGGTTGGAAAGAGATTGAGCAAGATAAGATCGACCATATGTGGGACATTGTTTTGGTAAGAAAAACTAACAAACTAATAAATCTATAATATTTTATAATTTCTTATGGATTAACAACTACTAGAATATATGATCATAAACTATGATGGTATTTATTTTTATAGGAAAAGTTTAATTTTGATGTGTCAGAGGGAAGAAAAAATGCAATACTTGGTAAAATGAGTGACCTCTATAGAGACTATAGGTACAAGTTGACGAAGAAGTATTATGATTCAAAAGCAAGTTACCAACTTTGCTTACGCAACAAGCCTATACTTGTTGCCGCAGATGAATGAAAATATTTGGTCAATCTTTGGAGTGATGTCGACTCTCAGGTATTTAAATTGTAAATTAATTTTTTTATGTTTTTTTTATTATTATATGTTTCATATTTTGATGATCTCAAGTTTATTTAGGAAAATTAATTATGGGTATGATTGAGATAAATAAAAGTGTCTTACACTGTATTATTATTTTTGTGATCCAAGATTTGGTTTCCAAATGAAATTAAGCTCTGTTTTATCACTTGCCTATTCTTATATAAGGGCATGGTACTTTTAATTGTCTTTGTATTTTCATACTCGATTTGTCAGTCAATTTGATGAGTAAAGCCAATGGGGGTTGGGATCAGCTCTAGTAGAAATTGCTCCCGTAATTGTAGAGTCTCTGATTAATACCACGTGTCAATAACCATTTCAACGGCATAGAGTGCTTCCTGATAATTTATTAGGGAATATCAAATAAGTCTTCAGTCCATAAGCTGCCTCAAATTTTCTTTTTCATTGACTTTCGGATGAACGTCATCTTCAATATCCATTTTGAAAATACGGGAACTTCCTTTTTTCAGTATGAAGGGCATATTAAGCTCCTTTATATCACGGTCCTTTCCTCTATAACTAATGTTCTTTTCCAATTTTTACTCACAAGAAGAGCACGCAGAACAAGACAAATAGATCGAAACGTTCCTTGCCACCATACGTTGGGACCAAAAGTTATGCAAGACATAGATACGAAATGGTATGAACACTATAATAATAATAATAATTTTAGAACGAATCTAGAAGAATTATATTCACATATTTTATTCTATTAATGATAACGATTATTTATTCGCAGGAGCAAGAAAATGAAAAAGCTCCTTCCCGTGTTGAAGTTTTTATGGAATCTCGCAAGAGAAGAAAAGGAAAACAAGTTGATGCTTTTCAACAAGATGTTATTGTAATGTCGATGTGTTCTCTTTTCTTTTTATCTCCTTTTATAATATACATTTGTACCTATATTTAATTGATTTGCATTTTTTTGATTGTAGGTTCAATTCGACCAATTTAACAAGTAGCAAAAAGAAGGAGAAATTTCTTTAAATGATGATGATATCTTTGAAAAAGTACTTGGGGCTGAAAAAATGGATATCTTCATGCATATAGACCCGGAAAAATACCAGTGAATATTTTGGTGGTAAACCAACAAAAGTACAGCTTATAAAGCAACTAGAATTGACCAGAAAAGAGGCAAATGAGCGTGTGGAAGAAGTTAAAAGGGAAGCTAAGGAAAAAAGTTAAAGAAATCAAGAAAGATATGAATAATCAGCTAGCAGAGATGAGTAAACAATGGGGAAAAAAATTGCAAATGAAACCTGCAGCACAAGGTCTACAACAAAATGATACAATCTAACGGTAAGTAAATTAGACTTTTATTAATATCTTTTTATATTAAAAATTTAGTATATATTTGATTTCTTTAAGATAGTATTCATATTAAAAATAAAATTTAATTTTATTTATATAAAAATTCTTCATTGTATCATTTAATTATTTGCTATTTTTTCCTATTGTTATTGCAGCTTGTGAAGGAGTTATAAAAGCATCAAGGTCGACGGGCACATGAAATTTTTTTCCCCTTGTCAAACCTTGTTGATATGTTTCAAACGATGTTTTAATATTTGAATTGATATTGTTGAACCTTTGTTAAATCTTTTTACTAATATATTGCATTTATTACATAATTGAAGAAGATCTTATGCTACAGTTGCCTATATGTTTCATTGCCAAAATTTAATCGTATTTCTAAATAGGCTTTATATGAATTATTGTGTCTAATAATGCTTGTGAATTTTTTTTAATTAGTAGCAATGAAATTTATGAATTTGTAGATATATATATATATATATATATATAAAATTGCCACATAATAAGAACATGGCTTTTTTCATAGAAAATGAAAAAATTTTATTGCTACAATTTTATGCTTCATGGCAAAAGAAAATGAAATCTTAGCTATGAATTTTTGAATTTATAGCTAAACATATAATCCTACAATTTCCACGTATCAAGAACATGGCTATTTAGTTTTACTTTCCGTAGCAAATGAACAAAATCTTTTGCTATAGTTCTGTAACGACCCGGCCGGTCGTTTCGAGGGTTATAGCCCTGTTTCCCTATTTCCTGCTTCTTTTGTGTTCTTCAGCTTTATTTTGACTTACCGGGTAGTTGGTTCGGGTCCGGAGTAGTTTTGGAGTAAATTGAGACACTTAGTCTCTTTTGTGAAGGCTTAAGTTGCGAAAGTTGATCGGATATTGACTTATGTGTAAACTACCTCGGGTTTGAATTTTGATGGTTCCGTTATCTCCTTTAGGTGATTTTGGACTTAAGATTGCGTTCGGAATGTGATTTGGAGGTCTGTGGTAGAATTAAGCATGAATTGGTGAGAGTTGAAAATTTGGCGATTGTGGTCGGCAGTGGAAAATTTGATATCGGGGTCGTAATGGAATTCCGGAAGTTGGAGTAGGTTCGTAGTATTATTTGTGACGTGTGTGCCAAATTTGGGGTCATTCGGACGTGATTTGATAGGTTTCGGCATCGTTTGTGAAATTTGGAAATTTAGATGTTCTTAGGCTTGAATCCGAGGGTGATTTGGTGTTTTGATGTTGTTTTGAGTGATTCGGAGGCTCGACTAAGTTTGAACGATGTTATGGGATGTGTTGGTATGTTTGGTTGAGGTCCCGAGGGCCTCGGGTGAGTTCCGAGTGGTTAACGGATCAAGTTTGAAGTTTGGAAGAATGGCTGAAGTTTGTAACTCAGCTATCATAACTGCACCTGTAGAGAGGGAGCCGCAGGTGCGAGCCGCAGAAGCGAGAAGCTTACCATAGAAGCCAAAGGAAGAGGGACTGGCAAATTCCACAGGTGCGAGTGGTTTGCCGCACCTGCGATGGTCGCGGAAGCGGAATTGAGGGTGCAGGTGCGAGGCGAACCGCAGGAGCGTGAGGATTTCCGCACCTGCGAGAGCGCAGATGCGGTCTCGAGGCCGCAGGAGCGAGGTCTGGATTTTAAGTGAAGTTCCGCACCTGCGATGGTCTTTCCGCAGGTGCGGCGTCGCAGAAGCGACAATTGGACCGCATATGCGGTATCTCTGGGCTGAAAGTATAAATAGCTCACTTCGCGAATTTTGGTTCATTTCCACCATTTTCAAGTCGGTTTTTGGAGCTTTTGAAGGGATTTTGAAGGGAGATTCAAGGGATTTTCAGTGAGGTAAGTTTCTTGAGCTCTAATACTCCTATCTATGGTGTTTTCCCATCTTTTTATCAATTAATTAGTGGAAATTAGGGGTGAAAATGAGGGGTTAGGGATTGAGATTTTGGAGAGTTTGATTTGAGGATTTGAGGGATCAAATGGAGTCGGATTTTGATAAATTTCGTATGTATGGACTCGTGAGTGAATGGGTTTTCTAGTTTTGTGATTTTTATCGGATTCCGAGACGTGGGCCCGGGGGGCGAGTTTGAACCAATTTCGGGTTCTTGGTCTAGTTTGATAGCTTTTCTTGTGGAATTCATTCCATTAGCATATATTGATGGTATTGTACTGGTTGTGAATAGATTCGGAGCATTTGGAGGCCGAGTCAAGGGGCAAGATCATAGCGGAGTAGAGATTTGATCGGCTTGAGGTAAGTAACGATTGTAAATCTAGTCCTGAGGGTATGCAACCTCGAATTTTGTGTTATGTGACTATCTTGAGGTGACGCACATGCTAGGTAACAAGCGTGTGGGTGTGTACCCGTTGGGGATTGTGACTTGGTCCGTCCCGTATCTACTGAAAAGTTGAACATTTTGTTGAAACTACATGCTTCTTATGTGTTTTAGAAAGAATTTCTGTAAATCAGTCTGGATGCCTTGTTTAGGCTTTATGCCAGTGTTGTTTGGACCCTTAGAGGTCTTTTATTGCTATCCTCTCATTGTTTTCGATTAGAAATTTATTTGATGCATCATATAAATGTTGTTGGGTTGAATGCCTTGTTTTACTGATTTATGACTGAGTGAGGCCGAAGGCCTGATTTGTGAGTGTATATATTGGATCGGGCTGCACGCCATAGCATGTTTTACTGATTCTTGACTGAGTGAGGCCGAGGGCTTGATTGATTTATGCCATGATTGGCTTGTTATAGCGCTTGGGCTGAAGGAGCCCCTCCGGAGTCTGCACACCCCCATTGAGCGCAAGTACCTACTGAGTGCGAGTGCCGACTGCTGAGTGACTAGGAGGCATGAGTGATGGTGAGGTTTGACCAAGGGGTTGTATATGAGTGATGGTGAGGTTTGCCCAAGGGGCTGTATCTGAGTGATGGTGAGGTTTGCCCGAGGGGCTGTATACGAATGATGTTTGCCCGAGGAAATGTTTATGATTTCATCATTTTGCTCACTTTTGCAATGAACCTTTGTTCGAAAACTGTTGAAAGATGTTTTTACATGATTTTATTGGAACATGATTTAAAAAAGCTGATTAGATACAAACTATGCTTTTAAAAGCATGTCGTATTTTACAGAGGTTTTTTTTTTGTGTGTGATATGAACTTTACTTGCATTATTGCTCGTCACTACTTCTCAGCATTTATTTACTGTTGTTACTTACTGAGTTAGCGTACTAACGTTACTCCATGCACCCTGTGTGCAGATTTAGGCGTATCTGGGCACGGTAGCGGCTGTTGACTATTCCAGTTGCAGGTTTTCTCAAAGATAGCGAGGTAGCTGCCTGGCGATCGTAGCCTGCTCTTCTCCCTCTTATCTTCGTTTAGTTGTTAGTTATTTTTCAGACTATGTTAGTCTCGATGTTGTCAGACAAATTTGTAGTAGATGCTCATGAATAGTGACACCCCGATGTCGGGCTTTTTTTTCCGCACTTTTGTTTTGATTTGAACTCTTTATGAAGGTTTTATATTAAATAGCTTTGGGATTATCTTTGGAATTAAAATATCGATTTGTTTTGATAATGTGTCGGCTTTCCTAGTATCATGATAGGCGCCATCACGACAGGGTTGTTTTTTGGGTCGTGACAAGTTCTATATATTTCATGGCTAATATGGAATTTTAGCTACAATATGAAAAGGTTTATGGCAAATGCTTCAATTAATAGCTTTGGAGTTTTTAATTTGTAGCTAAAGATGAGTACTATTGCCACGAGACTAGAATACAGAAATAGCCACAAAATTTGAGTTTTGCCTAGCAAATAAATTAAATCTTTTGCTTCAATACAACATTTCGTGGCTACAATATGAAGATTGCTACAAATTTTGTTCGTCGTGGAAAAGGAATAAAATCACTTGCAATAAGTATATCTTTCGTAGCAAAAAGCTTGTACTATCATAGCTACAACACACAAAATTTCTGTAGCAATAAGTATTACTCTTTAGCCACGGACCATATATAGTCTGTAGCTAACTTTTAGCTACGCTACATTTTGCTATGAACGCTACGGAAAAAAATATTGTGGCTAAAGTGTTTTGCCACGAAAATTTTCATATTTAGTTACAATATTTTTCATAGTGTGATGTCCAAAAAGGTCATCACTTGCTTTTAAATTGAATTCAATGTTCCGAGACCTTGAAAACCTCTTTTATCTTCACCTCGATTTGCGTGCGTAGTCCGAGCGTGTAGCTGGAAAGCTGTTATGTGAAAAATCTGTGAAATATTAAAATTTTGACTTAAAATGCATTTAAGTTGACTTCGGTCAACATTTTGGGTAAACGGACCCGGACCCGTGATTTGACGGTCCCGGAGGGTCCGTAGGAAAATATGGGACTTGGGCGTATGCCCGAAATCGAATTAAAAAAGCAAGGCAAGGGATAAAGGAGAAGTACCCGTCTGTATTACGGGTCAATCCTACTCTACTAGCCTCCATTTTGCTCAGTTGGGGAGCGGAGGTACCCTCGAGGCAATTTTCAGTTCTCTAGTTACTCCTGCACAAGCAACAGCAGTTATGGATCTGATTGAGGAGCGCTGGGAAGAATGGATCGGGGAGATGCCCTTGAAGATATTTACCCAAGGCACTGATATGATGACTCTCTCAATTACACGTGTTTTAGGGAGTTGAACGTCTTATTCTTATGAGTGGCCTATGTGAATATAAGCCAGGAGCAAGGATCGGTGGATCCGGTTGATTAAGTCGTTGTGTCTGTCGATGAGGTCCCAAGCCCGAGAAATGATTTTTCAAAGAAAATTGTTTTATGAAATTGTTTAAAGGATTTTGAAATGAAATTTGATTAGAACATGTTGGTATCGGGCCCGTATTTTGGTTCCGGCGCCCGGTACAGGTCTTATATATGATTTAAGATGATTCTGTGAAATTTGGTGAAAAACGGATGTCATGTGACGTGATTCGGACTTAAAATGGAAAATTTGATGCTTTATGAAGTTTGAGAAAAATTCTTTGATTTTGAGGTTTAATTCGTTGTTTGAGAGGTTATTTTGGCGATTTGATCACACAGATAAGTTCGTATGATGTTATTGAGTTAGTACATATGTTTGGTTTTGAGCCCCGAGGGCTCGGGTGAGTTTCGGGTAGGTTCCGGGGTGTTTAGACTTAGGAAAAACACTGCTGTTGCACCAGTTTTGGTGTAACCGCACCTGCGGTCCTTTGGCCGCAGATGCGGACACGCATGTGCGCACAGTGGGTCGCAGATGCGGTCTGGCTTCGAAGA